ATCAGGAAATCCAATGAGAAATATCGGTCCATAATTCTTTGATCGATTTATCTGATGAAATTCCATCATGATCAGAAGTATTCGATTAAATTTAATCGGATATTCTAATTACATATAAAAATTCAGTGGTTTATTTTGATCGGAAATATCCGTTTGTTAATTTTTTATCGGACGATTTCTTTCAGTGCAGCGCAATGCGAGATATGCAGCGATATTGATTACTTTCGTTTCCTGTCAGCAGTTTATGTCAGCTCATATCTGAATATAAATTACCTTATCCTGTACTCGCTTCTCAATGACTCATCTTGACTCTTTCTTTTTAGCGAAATAATGAGAAGGATCGTGCGATTCTCGAAAAAAGGGGGTTACGCAATTTTATTAAAAAGAAAAAAAAAGAAATGCAGGTAACCTTTATCTTGCCAAACATCTCCGCTCGAAGAGACACGCTCATCGATGCGCCATTCTGCACCGTGCAGCTTCTGTCAAAGAACCGGTGTCGCACTCGTGCGTCTTTCCAAAATATTTCAGACGCCCAGAATTACCAGACGACATCGTTCGATTGCACCGGCAAAGAGATCGGGTTGTCAAGTGCGCGTCTGACGTCACGTACGGCGTGAACGGCGTTTGCTTAAACTCTTTCCGCTCACTTTTCGATCGTTTTATACGTGCGATGAGCAACAGGTCGTCAAAGCTATTTCCAAACGATCCGACGCGCAAATGAACAATACACGACGTCGCGACAATTACGCCGACGGTTCACGCTCGTTTCTGCGGGAGTCGTAACGAGCAATTATATCAGAAATTATACGATATGCTCGTAATGGATCCGAGCGTAATAACAGAATGAGATACACACACATATGGCACGTATATATTTTATATAAATAATTGACTTATTATACAAGCGCTCTTCTGATGTATCTAATGCATTAACTAAACGAGGAGAAATAAACGTGACGTCGTTGTTTCTTAAGTATCCCATTACGCAAGCTAACATGTCACGTTACGCCTGTAAAGTAACATTTATATTGCAGTAGTCTAACAGCACGTCAATCACACGTGATTGAGGATATGGGAGGATGATTGCTTTTCTTTGTAATTCATCGTCGATACGTCTTACTTCTTCATTTGACTCAGAAACTAATTTTATCGCCGATGGACTTGCGCGCGCGGCGACTTAACTTCTTCGAGTTGATTAAGTGATTAAAAGTGTGCAAAATGCGATGCGATGGATCTTGTAGCAAATGCAACGTCAAGATCGTCTCGATTCAATCGTCAATATCTTTATTTGTCATGTTCATCAAGTAAATCGGTGACATATTTAAATGCGGTCCGGAAACGGTTGTCGTCTCAAGGCAATCGCGGTCCGAAGACCACATTATCGCTACTTTGTAAAAACTGAATAACCGGGTTGGATATTAAGGAGCATCTTCGCGTCACAGACTGACGTAATCGGCGAGAGAGATACGTGAACGAGTGTGAACTTCATGCCCGATTCGAAAGTAGAAACGAAACGGCCCGAGTCAGACAGGCTCGCGTATTGACAGCATCCCTCGCTGAAAAGTTGTAGAAACTTGGGACCAGTAATTGTCTTCGCTTCAGTGAAATTTCATGCACTAATATATCTTGAAACCTGCATTACCTATAACATTATACGAGGAGAATCAATTAGGAGGTAGAAAAAAGAAAAAGATGATGTATTTTAGAGATATATATAGAAAAATAACGAGACAAAAGGATAACGAGAACTTAGAGAAAAGAGAATAAGGAAACATGAGAAGTGATGGAGAAACCGGAGGCAGAAAGAGAGAAAGAGAGATAGATTAGAGACATAAGGGGAGCTTACAAGAAGAGAAAATACAGAAAGATAAAAGATTGGCGGAAGGTAGAGAAAAAAGTTGCGAAATAATTAGTATTCTCATAATTACAATTTATAGAGATATTAATATATGAATATTTTATTAATACGAGAAAAAAGGTAGAGAAGTAAGGATCAAAGAGAATAGAAGTGCAGAAGAATGAGAAAATGAGAAAGATGAAAGGAAATGAAAAGGCAGAAAAATAAAAGTCGGTGAAATGGAAGAGAGAAAAAGTGGAGAGAAAAAGAGTGAGAATGAAGGAAGAAAGAGAATTTTAGAGCTTTTGTCTTTTTTATGCTTATGCTTATGACCAATATTATGCATTATAGTTAAGTCACATAAAGCAAAAGCTAAATAGCGCGCGCTATTGCTTGTATTGCTTGGAACATTAAATTTCAGGAACGTTAAAACTCGAGACAATTTTTACCTGGCTTAGGTGCATACTTCATATCAGATATAATATCTGCCCGAGTATAATGAAATGAAAAGTGTGTAAAGATATGAAATTTTAGCAATATAGCGACTTTGATACATGTTCTACTTGTTGGAGATATTCTCTTGATGGAGATATTCTCGATTTTTGCAGCGTGAATTTTCACACAAACGGTTGAAAATATCATTAATACAACGTACGTATCGCACTGCCATGTTCAAGGATGCTTCAATTTACGCCTAATATCCACTGAAATGCTGTATAGCAAGCCAACAACTTAAGTCTTAATTGGCGTAATTTAATTCTGCGTTTTGCGCTTAATGAGAACGATCCGTCTCGTAGTGATTCCTATTAAATTTGAAATTCCTTCGAATTCGGTAAGTGTTGGTTTCGCAATATGCCTCGATAATTGAAATGCAAATATCGTTGACTCGAGACGTCAAAATAATGATTGATAAAACAATGACCATGAAAACGAGAGCAATTATAATCAAACGAACATTCATTCGAGATTGTAATCAAATAACAATCATGAATTTTAACAATTGTTATTTCAACTTAATTTCAATTTTGAATTTTATTAGATGCGTACAATGCGTTATAAATACGTATTTTTTTGTGCGTATCACATGGTCTCTATAATTTTAATATAACACATAACATTAACCTTCCGAGTATTTCGCTACCTTTGTGGCAACCAGAATCATTAATGTCTTCCTCGATTTTTTTCTCCTTTGAGTGCTCGAAAAAAAAATTCTCAAAAATTATTGAAACTTCTTTACTCTTCTGTTTGAGGATCATATGGCCTTCTTGTGAAAAATAAGTTCCGAAGTATTTTTAAAGATTTTTAAACAAAAATACTCCGAGCACTTTTTGGAATGGCCCGAACACGAATGATCCTGGTTATCAGTTGAGAGTCAGTTCAGTCATTTATCTTACACGTGTACACGCAGAGAGAATATTATAGCTTTTTCTCATATAATATTTACTATGTTTCTAATAATACTGGAATAAATTGTCAGTAAGGTCTATCTTGTTAAGGAACAATAAATTTCGTTAGAAACATAGCAATATTTTTAATAGCACATTTTATTTCTTACAGTAAGGAAAAATATTTGAAAATTTATTTATGGGATATAAAGTTTATTTCTGTGAACAGGGGAATAACGCTATACACGGAGAGATTATGGAATATTTTTTTTTATATAAATTCTTTTCAATTTTACTATGTTTCTGACGCAGAAATAGAGTATTAGTAATCTTGTACTAAGGAACATAGTCAATTTTTTAATAGCAAATTTTCCTAATAAATATAAATAACACATTAAATAAAAGGATAGTCAATTACCGCAGAATGTCGAACTATTCCTCGATTACGAAATTCTATAGTATAACTTCTACTATAAAATTCTCCTTATGCATATATATAAACTATATAACTGCATCAAAATATATACACTGAGAGAATTATATTAAAATCAACAAATATTTCTTTGATGGGTGTCATTAACATATTTACTTAAATCCGCATTCTCTTTATTTAAATAAAACATTGTTTATAATGTAAATATATGATGATGTAAATAAATATTTAGTTTAAATATTTAGTTTAAATAAAGAGAATGTAGATTTAAGTAAATATGTTAATGGCACCTATCAAAGAAATATTTGTTGATTTTAATATAATTTTCCTCTCAGTAAGCGTATATTTAAAAAAAAATATATATATATGTTTCTTTTTTACGCACAAAAGTATCCGTTTGTCACGTGTATCAGTTGAGGATATGTAACACACAAGCTACCTCGAAAGATACTTGAACAACATCGCCGTCATAAACGTACATCTACACAGGACAAGATACACGCGCGACTGTTTACCGAAGTACACATGGCACATACACGTATACGTACATTAGCTATCGTCAGGGATGTGGACTTATTTCCGTCCATGCTTGCGCGATGATGCGAGTTGACTGTACGATAACTGGCAACATGTAATAAAGCTATGCGATGTAATAAAGATATTACGATGTTTCCCTTTGTATCATACGCGAATTTGATACGTATTTTCGTGCACTCGTCATATGTAGGGCGTATGACTGAGATAAAAAATCTTATCTTGAAAATCGACGATCAGAATCAGTGGGTCGTCATATTCGTCGTTGTTTTTGTATTCACCATAATGAAGCGCGGGCTTCCTCTTTTGCATTGAGATAGACAGTTATCGCGGGTGAACGCGTATGTTGATGATAAATAAAGGCAGGTGTTTCCTCTTTATAATAATAACTTACACGGTGACTATTATTGTTGCGTGTGCTAGTTAATACACAGAAAAAATGTTTAGTTGGATTAGGCAAATTTCTGGTTAAATATGAACAAACCAACAAATTCTGGTCGAAATCATCAGAATTCTGTTGAAACAAATCTTATTAACTTGAACAAAATTCTGGTAACTTCAAGCGAAATTTCTGATTCTTCCTTATATTTCACCAGAATTTTGGTTAATTCAACCAAACTTTTTTTCCGTGTCATAATTACAACAGGAGACAGACTCGAAATCTAAAGCGAAAATATGAAATGTTATATATGACGCACAACTCATATAAACTCTCTGAATTGTTTCTTCATTAATTGTAGACATGCAATCTCGTCATACATCCACACGTGAATACCGTTGCTGAACTTGGCTTGTCGCTTTTTTGTTTCAGCAATCCGCGAGCGTCGCGGAATATGGCTGAAAAGCAACGGCGCGATAATCTCAACCGGAATATTTCGGAGATGGCGGCCTTGCTACCGATTGTCGCTGGGAGTTCGAGAAGGATGGACAAAATATCCATCCTGAGGTTAGCTGCTGTCTTCCTGAGGACGCAGTACAGTAAGTTTCATTAGAACGTATTTCCTTCATGTCTTCGATTCCATTAATGGATACTACTTTTCTCAACTCAAAATAACTATATTAATTTACAATTTATGTTACGACATACTTCACATACTTCATCACATATAATTATTATTATATTAGAGAACTTATTGTTACTATCATGAACTATCATGTCCCATTATTATCGTCATTGAATATCGAGCAAAACTGATCACAATATAATCGTTGCGTATTCTAATTTTAAGAAAATAATTGCAAGCATATCAGTGCTATGCAAAACGGAGTCGTCCACATTATAACGTTCACGTTACCGATAGTTTGGGGATAATAATTCGTACATATTGATGCTACTTCGATTTACGTGCGTGTGTGAGAAAAGCATTACTCACGGTCACGTATCTCATGCGTTATTTACAGCACTCGGACGTGGCTCGACAAACTTCCTTCCTCGGCAATTCAATGAGTTTGATCTGGAACGATATTTCGTCGACGTGAGTACACAAGCCGTATCTAATACGGATCTCGTGGCGATCGACACTCACTTTATATTCCTTTCTTTTTCTTCCGCCTTTTTCCAAATCAAATAACAGCAACTGATTGGCAACGGAGGCTTCTTCCTGGTGGTCACAGCGACAGGGAAGATCGTTTACGTGAGCCGACAAGTGGAACAGCACCTCGGTCATGCTCAGGTGAGTCTTTTGTCTTCTCTCTTATGATATAATTGACATAATTGATATGACATGACATAATTCTCAAAGATAATATTGGCTAATAGATCATTTCTCTCATAGAATTTCTAATCTGTTATACTTTTATGCGTAAAATTTGAAAATTAATTTAGAGTGCTTTCCCACTTAGTTTTTTTTATGACAATAATCTGAAATTGAATACAGTGTATATGTAATATTCCACGCAATTCACACAATTCTATTTAATTTTAAATTTTTGTATATTAAAGTATACAATCAATATTAACTATCTCCCGTAAAAAGTTCCTTCATTTAAACAATATATTTGTCTACAAAACTTCGTTGAAGTTAACTTCAATAACTACTAATCCACTTCGTGGATTTCTTTCATGATGATATGATTTTTCCCAATTAGGCCAAGATATAATAAAAACTGATGTTTCCCAAGATATAATAAAAACTGATGTTTCGTTTTTTTTAAACAGACACAAACGCTGAATACAACAGAAATACTAACTTCTGCATTTTACATTAGATAAAATATGTTTGTGTATATACACACACAGAAAAAATATCTGAACGATAAAAAATATTTATTTGGTGGGTATTAATAACATATTTACTTAAATATAAATTGTTTTATTTAAATAAAATACATACCTGTTTTCATGAAAATTAAAGTTTAAAAAATATATTTTTTATTTAAAAATACTTTTTTTAGTGTAAAAATTTATATATATTTATATATATATATATATATATATATATATATATATATATTAGTACAAATAAATGTATGTTACTAGTATGTATACCCACTAAATAAATACTTTTTTTATTTCTTAAATATTTTTTTCTCAGGTAAAAAGAGAAAATCAAGAAAATAAATTTTCTTAAAACAAAAATCACATTACTGGGAAGCCTTGATTAGAAAAAAATTGTTTTTATTTTTTAATTTAATATAAAAAATATTAGACATCTATAAAATATTATAGATATCAAAATTATGGGTTCATGTGACAAAAACATATTTCTTATTGTAACAGAAGAATCTAGAGTAAGTTATAATATTAGTTTTCATGAAAATTGCAAGCTCCTTATGTCGCGACATCGCGATTAACATTGCGACATTTTTAATTCGAATGTTTCAGCAATTTGCGTCATTGTGAACAATTTAATTATATTCGCCCTCACACGACAAAGCGTGGCGGTTAAAAATCAACTTATCAATTAATCACGAGCGACAGAGAAGCTTTCCCGGTTAACAATAAACTCACCCCTATCCGTGTTCACGCGATAATCTCGCTAATTGCGTGGACTTTAAAAACGCGATAGGAAATGCGAAACACATCGCACCGGCGAAAAAACTGCAAGAATGACTTTTCGATACTGTGTTTACCTGACAGCGAGACACATCGACACACGCTGTGCGTTCGCGTTAAGGTCAAGCTAACACTTCGCATCGCTCAAGAGACGACAGAGGCGCTTTAAATATTCGCCACCGAGTTTATTAACGGGGGACCTATTTATCCGCCATCGACGTTTTGCGGAATTTTCCGTCTCTTCCCTCTGGCAACTTTATTTTTCCCTTCTGTTCTTCTTCCTGTCTTTTTTATTCGCTCGGTGTATCTATATTCCGGCCATTGAAACACCGGCAATATACTTTCGCGCCGGCGCTGAGAAGAGGACAGGACGGGGGGATGGGGTTGACTAGGTGGGTGGGTGGATGGATGGATGGGTGTACGGCTGGAGGGACGAAGGGCAGCGATCGCGATCTCGCGGCTGCAGCTGCAGCACCGACCTACCCCTGTGCGCGCGGAGTTAGGAATTATCGATCAAATGAGTGCGTACAACGCAAATACGCTTCCATGGCAACCGCGCGCTGTGTATGCCCTCTGCTCCTTTTCGCTCTGTGAAACGTACCTGCCAATATACGCGAGCGCGCGCGCGCGCTCGTTTCGCATATGTATATTTGTACTACACGCGAAAACGGGGGAGTCAACCGCTTTCCGCGGTCGCCTGCGGAAAGAACGCGCATCCATCCGGCTCTTTCGTCTCGGAAAAATAATTCGCCCGTCCGCGCCAAAACGGACACTCGGTCGGGTGACCTCGCTCTGCGATAACCTGGCGAGTGACTTCCCTCCGGAAGTTCAATTCATCTCCCAGATAGACAGATAGCTTGCTTGATAACAGATTGGATAACAGATGCGCTAATCCATGAAAAACACAGAGGCAGAAATACTGAGAAATTTGTTTATATAATTTCCATTTCGCCGGAAAATATTGCAGTAACGACGGAGAAAGCTCTCGAATCTCAGAGGAAAATAAACAGATAGGCATAGGGGAATCCCGTTTAGACGACGAGATGATTTGTTCGCATTTATCGCGGATCAAACGATCGTGTTTCATTTACGGGTTGTAAAGTGACAGTCCTAATCACTTAGGAAGGTTGAATAAAATGAGTTTGTTAAGAATCCATTGGAACTTGCACTATGTAAACGAAAAATGTTATTGAAATTTTAATGAAAAACTATTGTGACATTAATAACTAATTTGGGACATTATTAACTAATATACCGACATTATACATAAATTTTAGAATTGTGAAATTTGTGAAATGTGTGAATGGCTGATTTGTTTGGAAAATATAACGGAAAAAGTTCATATTATTTATAATGCTCAAGATACACACATACATATACATATATTTAAACACTTATTTACCTCTCTTTTTATTGCATCTTTATTAAATCAACTAATGCACAAATGAAACATTGATAAGAAAAGTAAAAAAATATTTTTCGTGTTTATAATATTTTATATATATATATATATATATATATATATATATATATATACACACACACACCCATTTATCTCAATTTTGTCTTAAATTGACATTTATTACCTAATAATAATAATAATAAATAATAATAAAATTAATAATTATATAAATTACATAATAATATTTAGAATTTTGTCCGGTAAAATAGTAAATAAGTGATTATTTTAAAAATAGAATAGTGAACTTTACAACCTTCTTAAGATAGAGTCACTTTCATTCACTTATATGAATTTTACGTTAAAAATAATATAAATATAAACAATATCATGATATTAAAGAAAAATTACTAAATTTTACATCAAATGAAAATGATCAAGAAACGTTCACGCGTAAATCCCAATTAAGCGTAAGATCAACAAATATTTCGCGTATTGGCTTATACGCGATGTCTAATCATATATTAACATAATATCCGCATATTTATATTGTTTTAATCTGTATATAATAATAATATACATAACACATCTTACTAACAATTTCATAAATCTAAAATGCAAATATAGCAAATATAGATAAAGCGAATGATATTCTAGATTTGTTCTCTTAACAATGTTTGTGAATATGTGTGAGACCTTATAGAATATAATTAGAAAAGAACTATATTGAGAGAAGAATAATATTGAAAAAAATATGTTTTCATTATAATATATATTTCTCTAATACGTTAATGAAAAGTTTGAAATATGAATCGAAATTAGAGGGTGAAATCAAGACCAATTACTTGGGACTTTACTTCTAAATGTGTGAGTAACTTAACAATATCATTATACTATTCTGAGAAAAAAATATATAAAAAATATTTATTTCGTGGGTACCATACAATGACATATTTATTTAAATTTAAATTATTTTTTTATTTAGATAGAATAAATAATTACTTGCATGGAAAACTAAGATTTTAAGAAAACGTATATTTCTTTACTTGTTCATCAGCATAAGTACACTGTTAGAAAAGTCCTTAAAAATAATAGCATTCTTGTAAGTAAATTTAAGAATTTGATATTAAAATTAATAATAATGAAGATATTCATAACATTAGGATTATTAGTTATAAATTAGTTATAATATTTTATATTTCTTATGAAATGTAATATTGATTTCGCTATTACTTTTTATAACATAGTTATGTAAAAAAAACTTCACATCCCAGTTATTAAATTTAATACGAAGTTTTCTAACAGTGTAAATATGTCGTTAGTACTCACCAAAATGAATATTTTTTTATTTTTTTAGATATTTTCCCTCTCGCACACAGTGCACAACAAATTGGTCCCGAGATTGAGACCGTTGCTTTATTACAAAATATACGAATGAACGATATAATCGGATGTAATGATATTTACATAGTAAGTGTTTTATATCCGCTTATATCCGTTTTATATCATCAGAAAAGTGTTCACGTGGCGTTTAACCCACAAACGTGCTACTATCCACGTAGTTTGGCAATTATTTTCAGGGACGTATTCCGTGCATCTTCTCTTAATTTCACGCATTTGTATCTTGACTTTTATTCTTGAGTAACTACGAATGAAATGCCGAGATAATTAATAATGCTTCTGCAATTTTAGTAATTTAATAATTATCTTTTTTTGTATATTTTAGTATAACTTACAAGGTTGAACGTTTATGCATGTATTATAATATTTAATGTCTACGTGAAAACAATGCAAATTATCATACAGTTACCATCAGATAGTTACCGTATCTATGTTGGACATTAATTATAAGTGTAATGTTTTCAAATTGATAACAGATTGCAACAAAACTTTCACTTCATCATATGACAGATTGGTAAATTTAACTCTGTACAGAATTCTGTGAAATTTCTCCAACTTATTTAGGAAATAATATTCATAAATTTACATTAAAATTCTAACGGTTAAGTGAAAATATACTTTTTTAATTAATTATTTTAAGACAATACATTTGTTAAACGTTGTCCATAAATTACTCATTGTTTACATAAATCACATTTCATGCTTAATTTACATCGTCACATATAAATATAAATATTAACGCCTGGATAAGTACCTAATCTTAGATATTCCTATTGTTTGGATATGTATAAATATAGGTATTTAAACATGAAATATATATATATATATATATATATATATACATCTATTGTATATAAATATATATATATATATATATTGAGTTTCTTTTTAGTTTAATCTTTAATTCAATTTAATTAAACATTTGATATTTTAGGCATCGGGTCGTTCCTGATGAAGCGGACTGAAATGTTCGCGAAACGTCGGAATCAAACAAAGAAAAATCCAACCCGGCTCAAACCCGGAAACCAAATATAATATTAATTAAATATAGTTTAATTTTCTCTCTCTCACACAACAAATAGCATACAACAAATTGGTACCAAGTTTGGGACCGTTGCTTTATTGCAAAATGTGCAAATGAACGATACAGTACGACACGATTTAACTAGTCAACAGCAACCGTCACAATACCCACTTAGCTACTAATATCGATTAATACCACGTCAGTGTTTTCGCTGGTGTAACATCAAAAGCTGCACAAACCATTAAAACGCATCATTCTGCACGAATCGCTCAAGTATCGACAGAATGAACGATAATTGCGCGTTGCAAAAATGCAATACTTGCTTTATCGGCGAGTGCGAATTTATCAGACGGGGCGAGATGAACGTTGCAAGAGAAAGAGAGAAGGAAAAAGAGAGAGAATTGCGTGAAAAGCGGAGCGCGCTATTAACCGGAGACACACATAAGAGCGAAATAACGAACGTTATAAGGGAATAATAGCCCCGCAACTCCTTGTCTTATGATAAAATCAACTGAGTTGACTACCCGCTGCGGATATTGAGCGTGGATTGTCCGCGAATAATTGGCACGATCGATACGCGAGATGTATAACGAGAATTTCGCCCCGTTGCCATCGTTGCGCTTCTTTCTAGACGGCACAGCATCGGCATCCTTGGATCTATCGACGCAGCAACGTCTTTTTTCAGATTGCCGGAGATGTCGTAATTATGCACGTGACATTTTAGCGGCGTAGTAATCTCGTTTCAAAGTCGCTGCGACGAAGCTAATTGAGGTGTTATCTAGTCTGCGTCCAGGAGCTATGCATCGAGGAAATATTAATTAACGAACGAGTTGGGGAAAAAATGCACCGGCTATCTTGGAATCGGAATTACAAATGCGAGTGCATACAGAAAAATATCGTGTGCTGATACGCCATATCTCTGATTAAAAGCGGGAGTTCTCTATGCGACAGAGGTTCCAACTGCGAATGATACGATGATAGAAACGCGATATCGTGCGACTACGATGACGATGACGACGACGACGACGATGATTGCGATGTATCAAAACGAAGATATAAACAGTATTCACATGTCAAGATCATGTGCATGTATTTTCAACGTTACATAAATAAAATTGTGCAAAATTACACTTCGTACGTTGTGATAAAGTAACTAAATCGTAATATTTGCTTCAAATCTTTATACTGGAAATGTTTACGTGTAAGTTATGATACTCTACGTAAAGTAAAAGTATCCTCCTCCCAACTCCGGGACACATACTTATCCTGCATTTTCTTGTTGCTTTGTTCTTTAAATACGGATATTTAACTTTCAACGTAAGAAATATATATACATAAAAAATATATATATAAAAGAAATATATACATGTATATTCTAAATATTTAAAATTAAACATAGTTAAAACTAAACATAGTTTAATTTTATACAAATGAAAATTTTGCTAATGAAAATTAAAATATATTTAATTAAATAGAATTAAAAATTAGACTAAAAACAAACTCAATATATTTATTTGTTTTTGTTGAAAGTTTAAATATCTATATTCATACACGTCCAAACAATAGAAATATCCAGGTATATTGGATACTTGTCCAAGCGTTGTGATACTTGCATCTTACGCGAAAACGATGTAAATTATGCATGAAATGTGATTTATGCAGACAATAAGTCATTTATGGGTAACTGTTAACAAATGTATGCCTTGCTAAAATAAATAATTAAAAAAGTTCATATTTTCACTTAACCTTTAGAATTCTAATGTATACAAATAAATTTATGAACATCGTTTTCTAAACAAACTAGAATCCATAGAATTTTACACAGAGAGTTAAATTTACCAATCTGTCGTTTGATGAAGTGAAAGTTTCGTACAATCTATTATCACTTTGAAACATTACACTTATAATTAATGTCCAACACAGATACGGTAACTGTCTGACGGTGACTGCATGACACAATTTGCATTATCTTCACGCAGACATTGAGTATCATAATTTACGCGTAAATGTTCAACCTTGTAAGTTGCACTAAAATATACAAAAAAAAAAGGTAATTATATTATTCGTTTTTAAATTATTAAAATCGCAAAAACATTATTAATTATCTCGGCACTTCATTCGCAGTTGCTCAAGAATAAGAGTCAAGATGCAAATGCGTGAAATTAAGGGAAGATACGTCCCTGAAAATAATTGCCCAACCACGTGGGTAGCAGCACGTGGGTTAAGCGCCACGTGAACACTTTTTTAATGGCTGGTATACGGCGGAAATAAAACACTTACTACGTAAATACCGTCACATCCGACTGTATACCTGGGTATGCGAGGGTTTTTGGCAAAAATTCTGTGAGCGGCGCGCATTGTAATTTTGTGTGCCATCATAAGGTAGCTTCAATTAATCAAAACCGACTTACCCACCTCGTTGAGCCTTCACATAACGACTTGATTCGGGGCAAGCGCCTTTCCTCGAACGTCACCGTGCTGAAACTTGCGAAAAGTTCGACGCTCATTAGAAGAGCGCCGACGTAGAGTCACGGCGTCGCAAGGCTCTCTCTCGTCCGTATGCGTAACGTATCATCACTCTGCCCTGGGAGCACCCTCTATGCCGCTACCGCGGGAAAACAACGAGAGGACGATCGAGCGACGGCGTTGGTGTAACAACACCGAGGATAAAATGTAAAAAATGTCCGCGCTATCGATCGCGCCCTCGCTCCCTCCAGCTCTCTCTCTCTCTCTCTCTCTCTCTCTCTCTC